TTCAATAGGGCAGCGGCCGCTGGATAGGCAGAAGAGCGCAGGAGTCAGGGTTGTTCGCTGCCCAGTTTTCTGCTGGAGGCCTGGATGAGGCTGGGCGGAGATCCCCGGGGAACTCATTTCCTTCTACCTGTATCATCAAGACGGCGATGCACCCTCCCAGGCAGGGCAAGGGGGAGAAGTCTAGCACTGTCTAACGGGAAGTTAATTGTCTCCCGAGCACAGTTTGCCCTACAACAGTCAGATGTGTAGCTCATTCTACCCCATTAACTTATCGGCTCACTCTTTACTGAGTAGTCCAGTGTTAACCTCTGAATTTTAAGCCTGCGGCCTCCTACCCTCTTTTGGCGCTCAGTCGTTTACATGGTAAACTTGGGAGTGAATAAGGAGCCCTGCTGGCATAGTGGGGAGAAATCCAGGGCTGTGTACTCCCGGAACACATGCTCTCAGAAACGCCCGGGGCAGTTCTGCCCTGTTCTATAGGGCTGTTATGAGTCGGCATCGACCCAATGGCAGTGAGTGGGTTTTAGTCTGGTGGCGTAGTGGTTACGGTTAAGTTGCTAACTGCAAGGTCAGCAGTTGGAAGCCACCAGCTGCTTCAAAGACGTGGCTTTCTACTCCTGTAAAGAGTTACCTTCTAAGGAAATCGCATTCAACCATGCCCTGCGGCCTATGAGTCCACTGTATGAGTCAGCATCGGCTCAGGGACAGTGACTTTTGAGAGGAGCGAAAAGATTACACTGCAGGCATGTTTGCCTAGTCTCTATACCCTCATGAAGGAGCCCCGGGGCGTAGTGGGGAAGCCTTGGGCTTTAATCAGCAAGGCTCGCAGTTTGAAACCACCAGCCGCTCCAGCTCAGTGGCAGTGAGTTTTGAGTTGATGCCCCTGTTAACACCTACTTCCGAATCTGCTGTTTTAACTCCATGCCCGTGACCCCCACCCTCTTTCCCCTGCTTTTCTTCATTTCCTTCAACCCTCCCTCCCCTCCCCGCTCTTGGGGAGGGAGACAAAGGTGAGTCCCTCTCTTGGCTTTGCTGATTTCCTTAGCTTTCCAGTGCTCTCTCCCTTCTCAAGACACCGTCTCTCTCTAGGCCGCTAGTGAGAGCAGCCTGGATAAACTCAAGCATTTCCCTCCTTCTCTCCCTGTGAGCCCTCTCTTCCTGTGTGAAGTCTTCAGTTGCTCTTTCAGGAAAAAAGCAGCCCTTCCTTCTCCATGCCTCAAGGCACCTTCCATATACTCCATTATACATTCAGTGCATGCTTCCGGGCCTTGGCTGGGTTCGTCGTCTAGTGAATAGACACCCAGCACACACGTCCAGTTGTCTAGTGAATAGACACCCAGCACACACGTCCAGTCATCTAGTGAATAGACACCCGGCACACAGGTCCAGTCGTGTGACCAAGGCTGTAATCCAGGTCTTAACTCGGGGCTTGGGGTCATAAAGACTAGCATTGTATCGGACCTAGGTCTTGGCACTTCTTAAGAGTTTGGGGCATTTTGTCCTCCTGTGGAGGTCCTCAAGGGTCCCATCCCATCTCTCAAATGCCCCCAACTCCACCTTGCACTTTCCTTTTCACATTTACTCTCAGCCTCTGGTTTTACTGTCACTTGTCCAAGAATCGCTCTTCAAGCTTTGTCTTGACTTCAGATATCTGAATGGATAACTAGAGCTTAATGCAGACATGGGAACGTTTAGAGGCATAGACTCAGAGGGCCACTGGAGGGAAACCCCACATCCACTCCCATCAGGAGGCGGCTGCAGTGGTCCTTGGCTAGTGCAAAGATTTTGGACTAAAGGTTGGCAGTTCTGACCCACCAGCGGAAGAAAGATTTGGTGGTCTGCTTGCATATGGATTGCTGTTGCCCGGTCCTTTGCCATCCTCACAACCAGTGCTATATTTGAACCCATTGTTCGGGACGCTGTGTTAGTCCAGCTTGTGGAGGGTCTTCTTTTTCCATGACTCTACCAAGCATGGTATCCTTCCCTAGGGACTGGTCCCTCCTGATAACGTGTCCAAAGAATGTGAGACCGAGTCTCACTATCCTCACTTCTAAGGAACATGCTAGCTGTACTTCTTTCAAGGCATTTTGTTGGTTCTTCTGGAAGTCCATGGTGTATTTTCATATTCTTCCCCAATGTCATGATTCAAAGATGTTTCTTCTCCAGTCTTCCTTATGCCTCGTTCAGTGTTTGCATGCATAAGAGGCAATTGAAGACTA